CTTCCACTGGAACAAGCCATTGCAGGCTACATGGAAGGCAACTGAAAGTACAGAACTATGACTGAAGAGACATAGACCTTAGAGTTATCAAGAACTTGAGATCTGCAGCCATAAACTGATTTGGATCCGTATGCCAAATGCCTATTGAGCAGCTTGTGGACATTGGTGGTGAGAATGTCAATGAGGTTTCCTGTCCTTACTAGGCTTCTGCTGCAGAAATAAGGACTCTTAGGGAGAGAGAACGCAAGCATTCTTGTATGTATGTATGTATGTATGTATGTACGTACATATACATACACACACATTCACATGTGCACATACACTTAAAGAGTCTTTAAAATGTCAGACAAGTCCAAGTGGTATACATACTCACTGACACTCCAAATGAAGCGCAGCATTTAGGCCTGCCTGTCAGCTCTCATCCCACCCTGCCCATGGTTCTTGCTTCCCAGCAAAGGCCTTCACTTTATCCTATACAACTTTCCTATTTCTTCCTACCTGTGGCACTTATGCTTAGCAGCATAGCACTGTGGCAAAGAGCCTCTTGAGCCACACACAGTGCCAGGGCTCAAGCCCTAGTTGGGCCACATAACCTTGGATAAGTGACTCAATCTCTCTATGCGTCAGTTGCCTCAAACATAAGAATAATGATGGTACCTACTTCTTGGTGTGGTTTAAATGAGTTACTTTGTGTAAAGTGGCTGGAATGGAGACTGGTACAGAGCCTGTTACCACTCTGCCCACCTGAAATTTTTTCTACTTTCCTCTCCACTGATCCAAATTCACTATCTTTTGAGGAGTGAACTCAAATATGTTACTTTCCATCACTACACTGATAATCTCAGTTCCAGCACAGTAACTGAGGGCCTACAGTGTACTGCACTCCAGGAAAACTGGGATAAATAAGACCTAGCCTTGTCTTAGAGATCCCAGTCCATACAGGAGCATAAACAGACATTCAAAAAGGATCATTATTCTCCATCTAGTAGAAACTGTGAATTAGCATTACCCATTAAGTGCCCTTCATCAGATTTTACCTTACTCTCCTAACTTTCCTAAAGCAGTTGAGTGTCTAATTTGTACTATGCTATTATGCAGCAAAAGCATCTGCTTTGTGTTCTCTGAATAGTTTCCATAAATCAGCTTCAATATGCTCAATTTGATGGGGAAGTGCCCATTCTGGAACTTAACCTTATAATTCTCTCGCTCAATCACCTTTTACCAACAGGTATTTGGCAACTGCATATTAACCTTTGTGGTTGACTGGGACATTTAAGTCCTTCCAGGAGAAAATTCCTAAAGCCTAGAAAGATGGCTTTCAGGTATGACATGACTTTGGACTACCTAATTATTGCTGAGTTCTTTCCATATCTTCTTGGTACATACAGAGGACATTCCCCTTATCACCCAAGGTATTACTGTTACCACACCTTATAGTTAATGAAACAGCATGTGAAGAAACCCAACAGAACAAGAAAAAGGTGCAAAAAATTAGTTCTTCTAAAAATTGGTAAGGCAATAGGGACAGCCACACTGTAGTCTTCCACCATGTTTGAATGTCTGACACCATGAGTACATTTTCCAGTTCACCCAAAAGAAAAAGAAAAACCACAGAGAGGAAAGAAGAGAGGGACCTCTTCCTAAAACAGCCTGCCCAGACCACATCATCCCACAAATTCAGTCTCACTGAGATCCCATTGCTCCTCCAAAACGTGCAACTTGACTAAAAATGAAAACCATCAGGGACAGAACTAACACAAAAAATAGATCCAACTAATTTTTGCCCTATAGAGTTTATACTGAAGCTTTGCAGAAATGCACTATTTCAGCAAAAGCTTAAATAAGGCAGTGCCCTGATCTAGGAGGAAGGAGGAAAGACCTAAAGAAATGTACCCCATGCTGGCATGGGAGGGAAGACTGCTGGGGTTCGTTTTATTTTTAAACCTTTAACACATGGATTTCTGTTACTACTCTGCTATTGTGAAGTTCCAGAAAATAGAGGCTCAGAGAAATACTCAAGACATTCAAAGCTTGAGATTTTGGTTTATGTTGCTGCTGGTTAAAAAGGAAAAGAAGCACCAGGTAGTCTCCAGATTAACCTCACCACAATCCCAGCCCAAAGAAGAACCTGATTCTGTATACCCTCTCCTGATCTCACCAATTCATGTGGCACAGAACCCTACTATGCCTTATTCATAGAAATGCTAAAATCAAGATTCTTGATAAATCTAAAATAATATAGTACACTCAACTGTTAAAAACAGTCAAAGGTATCCAACCCATAAAACAGGTCCTAGCATGAGGAGCAATCACAGTAAAAATCATTCTCACATCCACAGTCTCCATGAAAATCCTCCACTGATTCAGCTCCACCTCTGAGCACTTCATTCAATCCACTGGTAAGTTTGGGGTCAATTTGCCTAGCACAGCGCGGAGGCATCCACAGTTTCCTCAGTGGTGTGAAGAGTGAGTAACAGCACAGTTAATCAACACGTGTGAATAAGAATCTGTGATACAGAAAACAGTGCAGGGAGGAGCTTGAGAAGAAATCTGAGGTCACTAGATAGCAAAGGTGGCATCCCCAGGAAATGCCTTCCCTACCAATTAATTTGGTAACTATATGCCAATAAAACTGTAGGAGCTGCTAAGCAATTTCATTACTGCCTCTTACTTACTGGATTTCTAATTCATTATAGTCTAACATGTCCAGGGTCACCTACATCCAACAGGTGTAGTGAATTTCTAAAATGATGCTGTAGGCTTTACCTACTGAGCTGCCCTCGATAAAGTAGCCAAGTTCAAGAGAAACAGCACGCAATGAGACAAACGATGAAAAAATTGCTGATTCCAATCCCAAACTAACATGGAAAAAACATTAAAGTTCCCCCAAAGATAGAAATATTCCAATTCCATATTCCAGGTAATAGATATATGTTTGTCTCTACTGACTTTTTTAATGAAAATCTTATTAAACAATCTGTTGGGACACAAACAGTAACAGCACAGATAATCAATGGAACCCCATTTGATGCCCTAGAGAGATATTTCAAACTACCAAAGGTAAAACAGCAATCTTCCAGGACAGTAAACAATACAACCTCATTCTGGGAAAAAGCACTGTGAGTAAATTGATTAATATTTATGTATACCCAGGCCTTAATACTTAGCTACCCCAGTTAGACAGTGTTCTGTGACAAGCAAAAAGATGCAACGAGTCTTCCTGAAAAATAAGCAATTAATCACACACTCCTTCAGATTAATTGCAATGCCTGAGATGTTCCACATCATTCTCCCGCTGCCCCTGAAACCCAACTCCCCCATGCACTCTCTGGTTTTCAGATCACTGTTGAACACCCCAAGTAAGCTCTCATTTTAATTGAGTCAGCCTAACACTACAAACCAGGACTAAAAGTCCCCACACATCTCCTTCTAGTTCAATTTGTGACCTTCAGTGCGCTGTGTGTGTCAAGGTTATACTGCCCACTAACCAACCACGCATCCTTTACCATCGGGCTGCCAGTCTTGACCTGCTCTTCGATCCCAAAGCAAAACCTTCCAGCCCTACTGGGCCGTCTCAAAACCATCTGACAGCACATTCAACAGCTAGTTAGATTGCTGCTTCTCCTTCCAACATCCAGATTGCTTTGGGTGGTGAAGCAAATCAGTCTGAAATCCAAAAACCTCCAAAATCCACCTGAATCTTAAGCACAGATCTCAGTCAAGCGAATGAAGAGCAGCTCAACATCTTTCAACATAACCACTTCTCTTGAATTAAATCATAGCCCACAATCCTACCTCACATTAAATGCCCAACTCCCCATAAAAATCTTAAATCTTTTTAGGAACCTTACTGCTTCCCATGGAGAGACACCATCCCGGAACCAATACGACATCCCTTCAAATCTATATCTAAGCTACAAACACAGTAAATAGGGAGTGGAAGCTGCCAAGGAGAAAATTGAATTTTGTTTGTCGTCTAAGTGGGCAGCAACTAATTACCCAATATTACCCCCCAAAGCCTCAAAGTGAGGGAACCAGGGCATCTGGGCAATAACATAGCTGATCAAAACCTTCCTGGCGAACTTGCTCCCCCAAAACCAGAATGTCATCGAGCTCCCACATCCACAGGCTACTACTGCATTTTCAGAAATTCTAGGAAGCCAGGAGGAAGGACCCTCCAATCTAAGCACCATGCTAATGCATTTTTCAATAGCTTTTATAAGAATGGAGAAAGATCTAGTAGATCAAGAGGTTTACAGTGATACTTATATTTCTATTTTCTAGTCTCTTGGTTGTTTGGGGTTTTATTTTTATTTTTTCTTTTTCTTTTAGAGCCCAGTTTCTGTGAATCTCTATCTCAACTGTATCACACTTCCTCCTGGTGGCTCACAGTAACCAGGCTTTCTCTGCCCGCCTGTGCTCTCTGAGCTCAGAGAGGCTCAGCTGCCAGATCCCTGATCTTGCAGCATACTTGGAGAGGAGCCGAGCATCATCTCTCTGTTAGAGCTCTAGTTCAGCCACTTGCAGCTCAGTTAAACCCATCAGGAAACCTTTAGCTTATGAGACACGGTTTTCAGGATTCTTTCCATACAGCTAAGATAGCAACCATCCACCCACTTGAGACAGGTACAGAGACGGAGAAATAAATGGGCAGCTCATCTTAACTCCTGCACAGCTCCTTTTTGACCAAGGATATGCACTGCTAGAAATCTCCCACACTCTCCTCACCCTAAGAGAAGACCAAAGACTGAAAAACTAACCCAAAGTAACAAATTGACAAGCAGGATGCCACAGACAGGAACAGGTATCTCAGATACTGCAAGATGGGAATATTAGCAGTCCAGCCCACCAAAGCCCAAACAGGTAGAGTGCTTTCCAAATGCAGGCAGATCAGCGGCAGATCAGCAGCCTCTCGCCGCCGCACTCCCCCACCCTCCCACCTTTGGCTCTGTAAGCTATGCATCCGTGCAGCTCCCTTAGAAAGTCAGATTTTCACTTACTCAGATCTACCAAGAATCCCCAGTGCCTTGCTGTATGAAAACCCCACAAACGGCAGTTCTTCGCCCGAGAAACCAGAGGGGCTCAGCTGGCACGGAGAGGATGAAACCCACGAATTCTTCTCTGGTTCATCAAAATTGGAGGTGTCATCGTCAGACTTGAGGGTGGGAACGAAGGGGGGAGGAGCTGGTTAAAGAAAAACAAGAAGAGGTGGGAGAGAAAAAAATTCAGATGGATTCCACACTGTTGTGGAGAAAAGCATCTTACTCCTCCAGCGTTGGCGACAGCACTGCAGCGCCTGCTTTCAATCTAGCTCCTCACACAGGCAGACCCAGCCTCAGCTCCTACAGCAACAAGAGATTAACCCCTTCCCTGCCAACATGGCCACCAACCTGCAGACAGGCTGCTGGGGTAAAGTGAAGGATAAACTCAAACAGGTCACTTGGTCCAAGGAAAGCGCTTGGATAACTCTCTGGAGGAGGTCACTCCTTCCTGATATTTCTAGAAGCCTTCAACAAAGCATCAACCAGCTAGAGTCAGGATGTCAGATGACCCAAACCTATTTAGTCCCTGGTCCAGGTCTAAATTATTAATAGTTGGTGCTAATCTTAGTGAAAAAGGGAACATTTGTGTCTCATGTACTAACCAGGATGGGAGGAAGAAAGGGGAAAGGGGACTTGCAAGGTTTGGGAACTCATGTTAGGATACCACTGCAGTCTACTTCATTCATATCCAATGAGTCTACTCAGAGATCTTATTAGCCACTTTTTTTTTTTTTAGTTCATTATCCCTCCTCCCCAGCGCAATCATGCCCATCGAATCCACTGCAGTTTAATCAGCATAATGAAACATCAGCCAAATAAAGTTCCTCCCAGAGATTCATAGCACCCCGCTCACTGATGGTGGGACGCACGATGGACATCTGCGGCACGGTTCCTACCTCCTTATGGCATGACTCTCAGCTCGGGACACATCACATCCTCTCTGCTTTCTGCCGACCTACTAAGCTCTCTCCGTCAGGGAGGCGGACACTTGTCCACCAGTCACCAGGAGGCTGCCCATCCTCAGGGGCTCTGGAGGGTGTCTCTGGCCAGAAGCGTTACCATGGCTGCGGGCTGAGGCATCCGTGGTGGGCCGGCCAGTGGGGGCAGGCAGATGGCAAGCCGGCATCACATCCCCCGCAGTGCAGGCTGCATGCTCCCCACTCTATGGTGCCTGCTCTGGCTGTAACCCCACCTGGCCGCCTGCGTGGCAGGGGCCAATGCTGATCTGAGTGACAGAGCAGCATGAGTCACTGCCCGCCAGGGCTCGCTAGAGCTCCCCCTAGGACAGTTGTCACAGCCCTTCATGGCCCAGACTTCTTTTTTAACTCCTCGTGTTCTGGACCAAGCCGTATGCCAGATATGAGCAGCAGTCTGTTTTCTGCTTACAGAATCAAAAGAATCCGGCTGTTTCCAAAACTCTCCCAATGACAACAACATCTGAAGCAGTGCTGGGAAGTAAATGTAGCAGCGAACGCATGTGCAGGAGGAAGGAGACGAAGCCAGAGGTCTAGCTGCTCCCAGGAAGTGCAAAGGAACATTCTCAGAGCTTCAGGTGCATTAAGATAAGGTGGGAAGACAGAAACAGAGAGACAGATCAAAAATGTAAAATGTGCACTACCAGAAAATTATTTAACACCTCCAATCTCTCAAGAGAATTTAAATCATCCCTGTTCATGTCAGAATCTACTTGCTTAATACTTTAAAAATTAGCTGATGGAAAGAAAATTTAAATTGCATGCTTCAGCCCACATCCCTCATGTACTTCCAGCAATATAAGCCCAGATCAATCTGATTTCAACTACTCAATGTTTTTAAGCAAAAATGATTTGTAATGAAAGTTACAATTCATAAGGATGAAAAAGAAAAGTTTTCCGTCCTGAAATAAGGAAACCCAGATAAAGATAAGCACTTTCTGGAGGCTGCTTTGCAGATGACACTGATAAGAACATGTAGTGGCTAGTGGCACATACGCTGGAATCTGACTCAGTTCAAATCCCAGCTCTACCACTTAAAAGCTCTGAGACCTGAGAAAGTTACTTCTTCAACTCTCTAAGCCTGAGCTGCAACGAAGGAATAACTATCTCAAGGGCTATGGTTTAAATAAAAGCCTATACATAAAACACTTAGCACAGTTCTTAGTGTCTAATAAAGACCCTATAAAGACTATCGTCATTTTTTTTTTATTAAACTGTTTCAAACTTTATTCCAGGTTTCTCCAGCTTAACTGACTGCAAAGAATGAACTGTAGGACTTTTTTTTTTCTTTTTTTGCTCTGAATGCCTTCAGGGCAGGATTGGCTGACTTGAGTTGTGGGGATCAAACCACAGCCACCTGAGCCTGACTGCTTTGTTGAAGCAGCCACTTAAAGAGCTGAGCTAAGGGGCAGGCCCCCCAAAGAATGAACTGTATGTAAGCAAAAACTGAAAAGAGCTACAGTGTCCAAGGGGCTTGGGCTTGAAAAATATTACAGATCTTGATTTTATCAGCTCCATAAACAAAAACAATTTTAAAAAGCAGTCATAGTATAAAGTAGCAGCTCCCAGGAATTTCTTTCAAGTTTGATCTTTTTCAGAAGCTGACTTGGTTGGTCTCGTTCATAGAAGCCTCATCAAAATTCTCCACAAGATCTAGAACCTCATCACCATCTTCTTCTCCAGTAGCAGGCGGTGCCTTTCCATCCACAGATTGTTTGGGCAGAGCTTCAGCCATTCTCCTTAAGCTAGTCAGACTGTCTGCACCAAGCTGGTTCAAGGTGCCGGGTAGCATTTCTGTTAGTTGTTTCATCTCAGCATGGCCTGTAATGGTGGAAGTGTTTGCTGCCAGAGATGCCTGAACTTTTGGGTTGTTGAAGTGGGTGACTGTTCCCTGGTTTGTAAACATATTCACCTCCTCAAGATATTGTTTACCCCTAACTTCTTTAATGAAAACTGAAGTTTTTTATCATCTGCCTTCTATGAACCACCTTCTTCTTTCTGCAAGCAGCTCCTTTCCCAACAATGCGCACTTGTGCCTGCAGTTTGGCGAGTTTTTCCTGGTTCATGATACTTTCTTTCATCTTGTCGGAGCAGATATAGGACAGCACAGGGGACTAGGGCTGGCGCTCTGGGGGTCTCGGGTAGACTAGCTGAGATTAGGCACACACACACACAGGGACCCAAGATGGCAGCTAGAGCTACCGTCATTATTGTTACTGCTTACATGATGTGTGTGTTTACAACAGATGCTGCAGTTACTAAAGGCGAGACTATGGCAGAAGCTGTACTGAACGTTCGTTCCTTCACAAAGTACAGACACATCAAGGTGAGTGTTTATGTTAATCCTATTATGTCATTTTAATTCCTAGCAGAAGTTTAAATCCCTTTCCACTATACACTAATTTATCTTTAGGAGACTAAAATAGAATTCCATTTCTGAGTAAGGAGTGTGATTAATAGAGGGGCAGGAGCCACCCTCTGTGAAGTAATTATGATTTTTAGATTTTTGTACTATAAAATAAGACTCATCTATAAAATTCTACCATGCTCGAAGTTAGCTGAATGTAGGCAAGATCAGAAAGAGGGCTAGATAACTTTCAAGCTAAAAGGAAAATGTCAACATCTGGAAATAGGTGAGATATTCACAACACAGATTAAAAGCAAGGATGTAAACCTCAAGACAGGAATTTATTTAAGTACAACAAAAAACTGTGAGAAGACCACCTTTAAGGACCACATGCATTCAGGGGTTGTTTTGTTTTGCTTTACTTTAAAACATATAGGGCAGTTAGGGAGACAGCTTGGTGGTCTAAGTTCCTGCCTAGCAAGTACAAGGTCTTGAGTTCAATCCCCAGTACTACGTGCTGTGCCAGCGGCAGAACCCCGGGCGCACCGTGCCAGCCCCCAAAACAGGCATAGTGGTGCATGCCTGCATTCCCAGCACTGGGAAGACTGAGACAGAAGGATCACTACAAGTCCAAGCTGCGTAGTAAGACCTTGTATCCTGAAAAAAAATATATAGGGCTGGGGATGTAGTTCGGTGCTAGAAAACAAAACTTGCCTAGCATGCACAGGTCCTAGGTTCAATCTACTACTATTACGTAAAGTGGGGAGGGTACTTATAGGACACTGAAATCATACTCACTGGTTTTGACTCCATGTGGATGGAGGTACGCATGGAGCACCCATCACACTGCATAGTGCCAAACACACAGAAAGTACATGATAAATATTTGTTGAGCAAATATATAATTAAATGACTAGGGCTTAGGTCTTGCAAAGAGAGCACCCAGCATAATACAGGCCACAAAGGAGGTACTTGATGTTTGAATTAAATGAAGAAGCTTTAAAAGTTGACATTGTTCTGTCTGAAAAATATGTTAATGAGTGCCTATATTAATATTTCCTGATACAGTACTATGAAATCATCAGCTCCTCTTGCCGACACATACCTACCATGTTCCCTAATGACAAATAAGAAGTCATATATTAATCTTTATAGATCGCTGGCAAAAGCCATTGAGGAAAATAGGAGGGGAAGTCCTTTCTCCATATATATTTTTTAAATAAATCAGCCCACATGAGGTGACGTCAGGACACATTCTCCTTAGTGGCAGAAGCTACATAAGTAACTTTCTGAGGGTTGTTTTTTTTTTCTTCTTCTTCTTCTTTTTTGCAGTTATAAGAGATGGCAGAACAAGGCTTTCAGAAACAAAGAGCTATTTTAGGAGCTATAGTTAATTTCTCTTCTATAAATTCTCTCTTGCTTCCTTTTTTAAATCTTGACATTCCCTAAAAGCTTTGGGGGGATTTATCATCTTCAAAAATATTTTTTAAAAAACAACAATGAAAGAAGAACTGAATGGATTTGTCCTCATAGCTCTGATTCTAGCATGCTCCACTGGGTTCTGATTACCACATGCCCACCTTTAGTTTCTTAGAACGCAAGACAAACATTAGTAGTAATAACATAAAAGATTTCCTGATTTCGGTCTATTGTTCGTTGCCTACTCTCTGCACAGGAATGTAATTTCCAGGAGGGGAAAAGATTCTTTGAACACATTCACCACTATATATCAAACAGCTAGGTCAGTACCTGGTTTCCTCATTTAATGATTAACATCTATTTTGTTAAACGAATGAATGAACACAAGGGCCTTCCTTACAT